AACTTATTCCAATAAAATTTAGTTTGTTGTCTATTTTTTAGATTCCATACTCGTAGGTTCTTTCATTTTTACATTCCATACTCATATGTTTTTTTTCTTTCTGTTTTGGCTATCAGCAGGCTGTGTTGTTGCCTGAGTGGGTAATCTTTGTTCAAGTAAATTCACCAAACTTTAAGTCTAAATAAGTTCTTGATCACATTTTTATTCCTTTAGCATTTTCGGGTATTCCAGCGAGTAAAGGTGTTTTAACCCTCTTGGATTGCCTTCAGCATTCGCTTTTCTTGATTTTATCAATTATCATTTTCTAATTATAATAATCATTTCATTATAAAAAGTGTTAATTGATATTCGAATTCTTATGTAATGTGAATTAAAGATGCCAATAAAAGAAGGAGTATTAACAAACTTGATGCCGTTGCTGTTACTTTCTCTCCAACACCACAATAGCTACTCTTTTGATAGGTCTCTCGTGTTTTCAGGAGGTCTTTGGACTGACTGTAGGGTAGAGCTGCAAAGGTGAAGCAACGGAGCCAGGGTAGGTGATCCACTGTGAAGGAAACGGCGTCGTCGCGAAGAGCCAGAGGAGAAACGCGCGACAATAGTAATTCATTTGGAGTTTTGTTTTCTTTTTGCATTCGCTTCTATAAAAATCTAATATTTTCTTTATTTTTCATCTATGCAAACTTCACTTGCTTATCATTTCTCTAATCTTTTTATTGTTCACTTTATCAGACTTAGCGTTATTATCAACTGATATATACTGAAGTGTGGAATCTCATAAATGATATAGCAAACTATAGACATACGCTTTTAGGACTGTAGAATTATATATATAATTTGCATAAAGCCATGCTCTTCCGCCAACAATAAAAACAAGGCTAGTTAGCCATTAATTAATATAAATATATATACACTGAAGTGTAGCATATATAAGCAGAATGACCCGATACAGTATAAGAACTCTAAAGAAGCAGTCCTGTATATTGAATTAGCGAAACCGCTGAGAGGATTATCACTGATGAGCTATATATACAGCTACTCAAATTCCCAATTCCTTATTCTAATGAAGATATTCATATCTCTATTCTTTTATTCCAATCGTCTATTTTGTCGTAAAACGCAGCTATCAGCTTAATCAGGCCTTTTTTATAGGCCTCAATCGTTGTTTACCTGATAAGGCTAGGCCCATGATTTTTCTCAATACCCAAGATTAGTAGAAGAAGGAAAATAAAAATATATCTAATGAATATATCAAATCCGATCTTCTAGAGCGGCTATGTAGGGTAATATAATATTGTCACAGAGATAAATAAAGCAAGGGCAAGTTTGGGGATAATTAATTTATTATAAAGGGTATTTATAGGGAGAGAGAGTGTACAAATTACCCCAAGTTAAAGATATTCCTAATGAACGGCGTCAGCCCCCGTCCCGTTTTCCTTATTTACAGATCAGCTTCCGAGAACCCCTCACACCTGTGGTCCCCCCCCCCCTCGGGGGTCCAGGGATGATTGACAGGTGTCTCATCTGGATGGAGTTCCTTGACAATATTGTTTGTCTATATGATGAGTCAATTTAATAATTTTCTTTTGTATAATCAAGAAAAAATTAGATAATTATCCTCATAAGGCAAAAAACAGCGATTCTATACTAAATTCTTAGCTAAATAATTAGAGCCAATTTAATTTAATAAAATTATATTTTATTTACTTTACTCATATATACCTTTTTAATTCTTGAAAGAAGAGTAGCCAATGATTCTCTAAAGTTTTAAATTCTTAAAAAGTGAAAATTTAAGTTTATAAAAAGGAAATATAAAGTAATAACGCGCCATCTATATACATCAAATGGAAGCATTAATACGAAAATGTTTCTTTTGCACCTATATCACACTTCTACTGTCCTTACTATGATAAAAAAATATTGGAAAGTTTTTGCTCATTAGTGATAAACCCTCTCAGCGGTTTCGCCAATTCAATATACAGGACTGCTTTTTGTTGGGTGGATCGTAATAATCACTATCTATTAAAACATAAATCTGCTTTATTGAAGGTACAAAAAAATAATGAAAATAAATTTATATAACAAATCTATAAACTCATATGCCTAAACCTCTCCACATACACTCTCTCACACCCGTCTCTCAAAGAAATATATACACATATATATACACTCAACACCACAGAATAAATTAAATCACAGAAATTCAATCATAGAATGAAAATTGATATTTTAAATAAATAGCATAACACTTTTTTAGAGTTCTAATACTGTATTGGGTCATTCTGCTTATATATTCTACCCTTCAGTGTATAAATTATATATTAATTTATGGCTAACTGGTCTTTTCTTTATTGTTTGCGGAAAAGCATTACTTGATGCAAATTTTATATATAATTATACAGTTATAAGCTCTTATGTCCATAGTTTTCTTGAAAATAATTTCTGAGTTTCAACCCTCCAGTGTAGCATATATAATCAGAATGATTCAATACAATATTAAGAACTAAATAAGTGGTTTGGTTGATTACATTGGTGACACCGCTGGCAGGGTTTACCATTGATGAGTCAAGCCCTCCCAATATTTTTTCCATCGCAGTAAGAACAGAACAAGTTTGATATATGTGTGAAAAAAGCATTCACGTCTTAATGATTTCATTTGCTGTAAAGTTAGATATGTCTAATATATAAGGGTCAGAATTGATATTCAAATAGATTTCTGAATCTAAATATCAAATGTGTTCTTGTAAATTATTCATTTAGGTTTTTCTCTCACATCTGTAAAAATTACAGATGGTTATTTAGAGTTATATAAGTAGCTGCTCCAAGCTGCTGCATCGAAAATTTTACCTCAAATAGGAGATGCTTTTTCTGGGAGTTTTTGCTTTTTTCTTCGTGGTTTCAGGTAAGAATAAAACATATTATTGATTTATTATCCGCCATAGATGAAGGTAAATCAATTTAAGTTGAAAATATTAATATAGGGATCCATTATATCTTCTCTCTCTCTCTATGCCGTTAAATTCCTGTTAAATTCGACGATTCATTTGATGCAGAAGTCTGAAACAGCTATTATACGATTACGACCCTAAACCATCTATCAGCTTATATATCATTATTTGGTAATTGAACTAATTCAATAGATATTATGGACAAGCATGATATTCATTTACCAAAAGGCTAAGAATGTAGACTTTAGAAGATAATAATAGCCTTGAGAGAAATTATTCATTAACAATAATTATGTTACTGTGTTAGCAATCAAAGAAGTATATTATACTCATAGACGGAAGTTTAGGAGTTACTGAAAGGTATTCGATACACAATGACCTTTATTGAAGATACACGCGATAACCAAGTTTGAACAAAATTGACACTCTCTCTCAAAATTACAGGCGACCGGTGATATTAAAGACTTTCCACTTCCTCAAGAGTTTTGTCCATATGGATGGCTTTTCTTGATTTATCAAGATATTGTGTTGGCCAAATATCAGGGAACCGGTTAAATCAATTAATAGTTGATTTTTGATCCACCAGATGGCGCTCTTCCTTCTGAAAAGTACATTTGCTCATGGTCAGGATATGACATTTTTTATTTTAATATACATAATGTATTGATTTAGTTTATATTTGATGGGAGATATGAGTATATACAAATATATAGAGTCTCTATAACAAAAGAATCGCGCATGGCTCACCAAGAAATATTTGTTAGATTGAGACAAAATTTGGAATATGTGAAAACATAAAAATAAAAAGATTAAAATATCAGAACAATTGTTTTATTACATAGTTTCTCTATCATAAATTGAGAAAGTCGAAATGTCGTTGGATCCCAACTGGCCAGGATTGCAGGCTTCGACTCGGTGTATCATGGACTGATAAAGATTACGGTTGGTGTGCTTCGGGATTTTTTGCCAAATTGTATCCAACTATAGAGCTAAATATCCTGAAATCTAGGATGGTCTAAATCTATATTCCATCGCGTTCCAGATATTCTCTATGAGCGAGGAATCAGGCGATCTTGCTTGTCACTGAAGAGTTTGGAAATATTGAAGTAAACCATAGTAACACTTTCAATGTGTGGCCTGGCATTATCTTGTTGTAAAGTAAGCCCAGTGTCATATTAGAGGAAAGACTTCAACACAGGCCATAGAATGTCATCTACGTACCGTTGTGATGTCAGGGTGCCAGGAATGACTACCAATGAGGTCCTGCTAAAAATTATGAAATGACACTTTAGACCATAACGACCTGTTGTGAACCTAGGTGGTGTTAAAAAGTAGTCTAAAATCCAAACGCTGCCCACCAAGTCTCCAGACACGGTTGCGACGTTCGTAAGGACACAATAAGAAACTGGACTCGTAACTATTCTGAATAAATACTATTTATAGGTTAGATAAGACTATATTAAAGTTAAGAGAACATGGAAAACGCCTTAGAAACGAAGATATCGTACGCATATTATTAATGAAACCATACTTCATATCATCAGGACAGGAGGAAAAAGACCTAAACAACAATGAACCACTGGCCAAGTAATTATATAAAGTTATCTGAATAAAAATTTCTCTAAAAAGAGAGAAGCAATGTAACATTAGAAGATCTGAATTATTAATATTGGAAAGATATTTATTATATTGTGTATTCTCCCTTTTCAAACAAACGCTCACGTGCACATGGGGAAAGGGAGGAAACATTACTGTATTATTTTGTTGTTGTATGGCGAATCCATACAGGGCAATGGGTCCTAATAAAACCTTTTTGTTATTGTTACAATGTGTATTTAGAATGATAATTAATACCTTTTATGATAAAGGAAAACTGTTGAAAAAATAGGAGGATATGAGAAAGAACTGATCATCAGAGGATTTTATTGAAAGGTAACCATCCTCATACTGAAACGTAAGATAGCATACAACTACTAAGAGAGACAGTGAGAATATGGTTTTTACGGATTACAAACAAAGTGCATGAATTTTAAGCCCAAAATAAATAAAAAATGTCTTGTGTGAGGATCGAACTCACAACCTTCAGATTATGAGAATGACGCGCTATATACTGCGCTAAAGAAGCGACAAAAAAGGCGACAACTACTAACTACCTAAGATATCTATTTATATACAATGTGACACACAACAGAGTAACAGGTCACTGGATAATACGATTTTAGCATCGTGTACGGGATAAAGAACATAACTACAAGATAATAGTTTGTGTTGGCGTTTTTAAAGCCACATTTTGTAGGTGAGAAAGGGTTTAATCGCCATAATCAACATCATGGCGGAGATTGAAAAGAAAGGAGAAGAACCAACAAAATAATTATATTTTTGTTATATCTAGAAATCTGATAGAATTGTCATTTCAACATTTATAGTCATTTCTTTGTTTTCATAATTTATTTTATTTTCTTTTAGATTCCTATATTAATTTTTACAGCTGTTTACCAGATTTTTATATAACTTTTCTAAATTCCATACTTTACCGATTTAATACTTTTGATGGGTAATCTTGGTTAATCTCTATTTTGATCTATTTCAAAGTTTCAGGCATTATAGTTCTCAGTTAAAATTTACTTCTTACTTCTCGCAGCTTCATATTAATATATTCTCCAATAGAATAATTAGGATAAGTCATAAACAAATAAATACTATCATAATATTAGTTCCTTTTCCATTAACTGTTAATAACTTTCGAAACTCTGCTCTTTCTGAAACTTAAGAGTTCACTTCATGTTCAAAATTGTTTACATTATTGAATCCAACCAAAATGAAACGAGAGAAAAAACATTAAAGTATTTACAATATGAATATACATATAAATTTAACTTACAGGTTAATGCTACTTCGCATTGCTAACAATAACCTAACCTTTCTGTTATTACAAGTAACCAACTTCTAGGCAAAATTAAATGAATTTGTAATATTTTAAAAATAATAATAAACTCTTAAAAATTCAATAAGCGGAAAAAATTAACTTATTCTAAAGAATATATATGCTCCAGTAGATAACCCCTAGAAGAATAGTAAGTAGGTATTGATAACTTTTTAATTGTTTAAGTGTTTATTATTAGCTTAAATTGTGAATTAATAATTTTTATAGTTCGTGAATTTGAGAAATCTTGTGATAGTTACAGTGTATTCCTCCCAATTGCTATAACTCATCACCTTTAAGTTAGCAATCTCAACGTCAAAAGCATGGGGTTCGGTGGTAGGTTGGTCTAAACCGTTGGTTTGCGACCGCTACGACCCGGGTTCGATTCTCGCATTGGGCACTTTATTCTGATTAAAAAAATCCCCAATGGCCCCCGATTCTTGCAAAGGTTCAACCCCACCAGCGAGTTCAAATAATCAAACGGGGCTCTGGCACATTTTTAAGTGCAAAGTCGAACTGCTATTCACATGTGTAGACATATGGTGCACTTACAGTAAAACCAGTCGCTAACTCTACCAACCATGATTATTATGGCCTCTACTACATGTACTAGGAATAATCAAAAAGAAAACGTTAAAAGCATGATAACTTATTCCAATACCATTTAGTTTGTGGTCTATTTTATAGATTCCATACTCGTAGGTTCTTTCATTTTTACATTCCATAATCGTATGTTATTTCTATTTTTTTTTGGCTATCAGCAGGCTGTGTTGTTGCCTGAGTTGGTAATCTTTGTTCAAGTAAATTCATAAGACTTTAAGTCTAAATAGGTTCTTGATTACATTTTTATTCTTTTAGCATGTTCGGGTATTCCAGCGAGTAAAGGTGTTTTAACTTTCTTGGATTGCCTTCAGCATTTGATTTTCTTGATTTTATCAATGATCATTTTCCGATTATAATAAACATTTCCTTATAAATAGTGTTAATGGATATATTCGAATTCTTATGTAATGTGAATTGAAGATGACAATAAAAGAAGAAGTGTTAGCAAACTTGTTGCGTGTTGCTGTTACTTTCTCTCCAACACCAAAATAGCTACTATTTTGATAAGTCTCTCGTGTTTTCAGGGCGTCTTTGGACTGACTGTAGGGTAGAGCTGCAAAGGTGAAGCAACGGAGCCAGGGTAGGTGATCCACTGTGGAGGAAACGGCGTCGTCGCGAAGAGCCAGAGGAGAAACGCGCGACAATAGTAATTCATTTGGAGTTTTGTTTTCTTTGCATTCGCTTCTATAAAAATCTAATATTTTCTTTATTTTTCATCTATGCAAACTTCATTTGCTTATCATTTCTCTAATCTTTTTATTGTTCACTTTAACAGACTTAGCGTTATTATCTACCGATATATACTGAAGTGTGGAATCTCATAAATGATATAGCAAACTAGAAACATACGCTTTAGGACTGTAGAATTATATATATAATTTGCATAAAGCCATGCTCTTCCGCCAACAATAAGGACAAGGCTAGTTAGCCATAAATTAATATAAATCTATATACACTGAAGTGTAGCATATATAAGCAGAATGACCCGATACAGTATTAGAACTCTAAAGAAGCAGTCCTTTATATTGAATTAGCGAAACCGATGAGAGGATTTATCACTGATGAGCTATATATGCAACTACTCAAATTTCCAATTCCTTATTCTAATGAAGATATTCATATCTCTATTCTTTTATTCCAATCGCCTATTTTGCCGTAAAACTCAGCTATCAGCTTACTCAAGTCTTTTATTATACAGGCCTCAATCGTTGTTCACCTGATTAGGCTAGGTCAATGATTTTTTTCAATACCCGAGATTAGTAGAAGAAGGAAAATAATGAACATATCTAATGAATATATCAAATCCGATCTTCTAGAGCGGCTATGTAGGGTAATATAATATTGTCACAGAGATAAATAAAGCAAGGGCAAGTTTGGGGATAATTAATTTATTATAAAGGGTATTTATAGGGAGAGAGAGAAAGTACAATTTACCCCAAGTTAAAGATAATCCTAATGAACGGCGTCAGCCACCGTCCCGTTTTCCTTATTTACAGATCTGCTTCCGAGAACCCCTCACACCTGTGGTCCCCCCCCCCCCCAAGGGGGTCCAGGGATGATTGACAGGTGTCCCATCTGGATGGAGCTTCTTGACAATATTTTTGTCTATATGATGAGTCAATTTCATTATTTTCTTTTGTATATTCAAGAAAAAATCTAGATAATTGAAGACACGTGTTAAAAACACCGATTCTATGCTAAATTCTTAGCTAAATAAATAGAGCCAATTTTATTTAATAAAATTATATTCAATTTACTTTACTCATATATACTTTTTTTACTTGTTGAAAGAAGAGTAGCCAATGATTCTCTAAAGTTTAAAATCTTAAAAAAGGAAAATTTAAAGTTTATTAAAAGGAAATATAATGCAATAACGCGCCATCTATATACATCAAATGAAAACATTAAGACGAAAATGTTTCTTTGCACCTATATCAAACTTGTACTGTCCTTACTATGATAAAAAAAAATATTGGAAGGGTTTGGCTCATTAGTGGTAAACCCTCTCAGCAGTTTCGCCAATTCAATATACAGGACTGCTTTTTTAGAGTTCTAATACTGTATTGGGTCATTCTGCTCATATATTCTACATTTCAGTTTATATAGCTTTATATATGCGTAATTGGCCTTTTCCTTATTGTTTGCGGAAGAGCATTGCTTGATGCAAATTTTATATATAATTATACTGTTCTAAGAGCTTATATCCATAGTTTGCTTAAATACCATTTCTAAGATTCAACCCTCCAGTGTAGCATATATAATCAGAATAATCCAATACAGTATTAGAGCTCTAAAGAAGGGGTCTGGTTGATTACATTGGTGAAACCGCTGGCAGGGTTTACCATTGATAAGCCAAGAACTATCAATATTATTTTTTCGCAGTAAAGACAGTAGAGGTTTGTCTTATTTGTGAAAGAAACATTCACGTCTTAATGTTTTCATTTGCCGTAAAAGTAGATATGTCTAATATATAGTGGTCAGAATTGATATTCAAATAGATTTCTGAATCTAAATATCAAATGCATTCTAGTAAATTATTCATTGAGATTTTTCTCTCACATCTGGAAAATTTGCAGGTGGTTATTTAAAGTTATATAAGTAGCCGCTCCAGGCTGCTGCATCGAGAATTTTATCTCAAATAGGAGATTGTTTTTCTGGCAGCTTTTGCTTTTTTCTTCGTGGTTTCAGGTAAGAATGAACTATATCCTTAGAAGCATATTATATATTTATAAATGTATGTAATTCTACTGTCCTCAGAAACTTATGTCTATAGTTCTTTTAAAATTCTCATTCAAAGAGTCTAACAACATTATCACTATAAAAGGAAGTTCTAAAAATTCAATATAACAGCGGTATGGTAGATTTAACTGGCGAAACCGCTGGGAAGTTTCACCACTGATGAGCCAGGCCCTCCCATTAATTTTTCCATTGGAGTAAGGGCAGTAGAAATTGTTTATTTTTCAAATAGAATCTTACGCCTTTAAAATAATTTCGAATTTTGATAACAGATGGCGCGCAAGTGCATCCTTTATTTATTCTTAGTGATAGTTAAATATGAATCAATTTATGCTGCAAGTAATTATATAGGGATTTTAATGTGAGCAACAGTTATCCAGAATTTTTTTAAAAAGGAAAAATAAAAATCAGGTAAAAAGTTTCTTTCATAGAATTATATGACAAAAGATCAAATTTCTATTTAACATTATTAATTATAATAAACAAGATTCCAATATATCAAAAAATTGCACCAAAGGTATCTATTTTGGACAAATTTTAAGATTATACAGAATTAACAACAAATTAAACAACTTTATAAGTAAAATTAAAAACTTAAATGATGAATTTCAAAAAAATGGATTCAGCCAAAATACAATTTAAAAAATAAACATTTTAGCAATCAGAAAATATCTTCACAAAGACAAATTTCCTTACAATTTCAACTTCAATGACTTTAAAAATTTCAATATGAGATTTTAATTAACTTTTGACCGGATATTCAAACTATAATAAAATATAAAATAGGCGTTATTGTTAATTTTCAAAATATTCACACCTATATTTTACAAAAATTATTTTGTCCATAATACAAGGTGCGTTCATTA